AATAAGAGACCAATTAAATAAGTTATGGTATATCCACACAATGCAACATTATGCAATTAAAAGCATCTTTTTGCATATTGATACAGAGAAATTCCTAATATTTATTAGGTTTAAAAAATAAAAAAAATATAGAACACTGTCTATATGCTACCTTTGGTATAGAAAGGGAGAGAAATAAGAATATATTGGCTGGGCTCAGTGGCTCATGCCTGTAATCCTGGCACTTTGGGAAGCCAAAGCAGGAGGATGGCTTGAGGTCTGGAGTTTGAGACCAGCCTGAGCAAAAGCGAGACCCCTGTCCCTACAAAAAATAGAAAAATTAGCTGGCTTTGCTGGTGTGCACCTGTAGTCCCAGCTAAGGCAGGAGGATTGCTTGAGCCCAGTAGTTTGAGGTTGCAGTGAACTATGATGACACCACTGCACTTGAGCCTGAGTGACAGAGTGAGACCCTTTCTCAAAAAAAGAAAAAGAAAAGAAAAAGAAAAGAAAAGAAAAAGAAATACATTTATGTGTGCTCATATTTGCATAAAGAAACTCTGTAGCATATGCAAAAAGTAATAAAAGTGGCTATCTTTGGGGAAAGGTTGGAAACTGGGTGGGTAAAAAAGAGATGGAAGTCATATTTTCACTATAAACTCCTTTTTTGACTTTTTTGAACTATGAGAATCAATTATCTTTCAAAATAAAAAACTAAATTAAAAAATATATTTCTATTTGTATTTGCTATTCTTAAATTTCACTCTACTATGTCTAGTTTCTAAGGGTTTGGGGGGGGTTGTTTTTTCTTAGATCTGAGGTTTTTTGGTCAATGTGAGGTCACTTTTGGAAATTCTTGGTCAAAGTCCCCCCCCCCTATTTTCTTCTCAGGAGTCTTCTTATTACTTAGATTTTACATTTTTACTTCAATCCCCTGTATGCTAGTTTTTATTGTTTATATCTTTCTGATGCCTTCTGGGAGAAATGCTAAAGGTAGTCAGTTTTCCACTCACTGATTGTTCTTTGTGTCCGTCCTGCCATTCAGTGTGTGCACTGGGTTCTTTATTTCATTCAGTTTGCATATTCAAGGTGTCCATCCGATTTGTTCTGCATCACCTGTGCTTACTTCTGCTTCATATTTCTGATACCTTCGCTCATCTATTTAAGGATATTTGTTATGCTTATTTTAAATTCCTGTTCCTTTCATGTGTTGGTTCTCTTTCCTTTGATATGAGTTGTTTAGTCTGTTATCTTTCCTTTGTAACGGTTGCCTTCCTCATACAGCCCATTATTTTTCTTATGAGTTCATGTGTCCTTGGGGCCACCAACTACCTTGGTTGCCAGTGTGTCCAGCAACAGAGCCCCTGATGTTGCAGTCTGAGAGCAACCACTTCCCTTTTGCCTCCCCCAACGAGGGAATACTTTACTCAGTAAATCTTCCAGAACCTCCTCCTCAGACATTGTTCTTTTCTAAGGGCCGCCTCCCTCTGTTGCAACTCCCTGTCCCATTGTATTCATCTTCTTGGGCTGCTATGACAAAATACCACAGACTGGATGGCTTAACACATTGACTGCCACACCAGAAAACAAAATTTTTTTCCTTGGGGCCATGGTGTTTTATCATGAACATAGAATAAAAACTTTGAAAACAAAATAATCGTTTCTATTTTAATGAAAAATTTGTTATTTTTTATTGTTTTCTGTGTGTGAGTTACATGTAATTAAATTGTCAATATTAGTTATGACAATAAGATCATCAACAAGTAAGATTTTCATGAACCAACTGCATGGTTTTGCCGAGGGGGGCCACAATCACATAACACATATGCTACAGCATGGCAGCATGAGTTGCCTGTGCACCATGTGGCTCCCAAGGTAAATGGACATGTGAGTTCCATATGTTTCATGAAGCCCCGGGGCTCAAAACTAGCATGAGTTAAATACAACTCACGTGGCAGTTAATGTATTAAACAACAGAATTTTATTTTCTCACAGTTCTAGAGGCTGGGAAGTCCAAGACCAAGTTGCCAGCAGGGTTGGTGTCTGGTGAGGGCTCCTCACCTTGGCTTGCAGACAGCCACCTTCTTGCTGTTGCTCACATGGCCTTTCCTTGGTGTGTGTGCACAGAGTGGGAGTGGGTAAGCTCTGTGGTGTCTCTTTTTTTTTCATATTTTTTTTTATCTATAAATTAGCCAATCCCATTTCCTTTTACCTTCTTTAAAAAAAAAAATAGAAATTTTGAAGGGTAGTCTAAGGGTGAATATGGCAAAATAGGGCTTTAGGCACTATAGCTTTTTATTAAGAAATAATTTTTTTTATTTGAGAAGGTAACTAATTATTAAGGTATTGAAAAACCTCTCCATTCTAAAGATGATGGACCCTGAGACAATGGATATTTTTTAAGTGGGGATAGTGAAATTTGTTTTGCTTTATTCTTTGGGAGAGGGGTTGGGTGGGATGGGGATGGGGTGAAGCAATAATTCCTGGGAAATGAATACAGCCTCAGATTGGCTTGTGGCATTTGGGAAGATGTGGGGTAGAAGAGACAAGCCCATGCAATTACCGTGTTGGGGAGAGGGAAAGAGGGGGTATAGTATGCACTCAAAATGAGCAACAATCCTCCCCTAGTAGGAGTGTGTGAGTGAAGGGGGAAGGTAGACCCTGTGACCCTACATGAGGCATGATACCATGTCTCAGGCTTAAAATTTAAGTTCACTTAGTTCCTTTACTCCAGGGCATCTGCAGTACCTACTGAAATTTTTAATGGAGTGGGGAGATTTCCAGTGTTCTTATTTCCCCCTTCCCTTTTTTTAAATTTCAGTACATTTGGGGGGTACAAGTGTTTTTTGTTACATGGATTAATTATGTAATGGTGAAGTCAGGGCTTTCAGTAAACTCATCACCAAAATAGTGTGTATTGTACCCTGTAGGTAAGCTTTTATCTCTCACTCCCTTCCCACTCTCCCTGTTCTTAGTTTCCAATGCCAACCACTTTGTGACCATTTATACCCCTCATTTAGCTCCCACTTATAGCTGAAAACATGTGGTGTTTGTTTTTCCATTCCTGAGATACTTCATTTAGGATAATGGTCTCCAGTTCCATCCCAGCTGCTGCAAAAGACATTATTTCATTCCTTTTTATGGCTGAGTAGTACTCCATGGTGTGTGTGCTTGTGTGTGTGTGTGTATGTGTGTGTGTGTGTACATACATATATACCCCATTTTCTTTTTTTTTTAAATTTCCTTTATTTATTTAGATCTTTATAAAACATTCCATCCTTCTGCAGATCATAGTGCTTTATTAACAAATTCATGTGTTCTTTTCCCATTCCTTTAATACAAAAAAAAAATTATTCATCAGTTATTTTCATCTGACATTTCACTAAGTACAGGATTCATAATGTCAACATTATTAGATCAGTCATTCAAGTGGGTCACACAAGTTTATCTTCATTGTGCCAAATACCCACTCAAAGGATAATATGAATAACAGATGCCTCCAAGTGTATTCAACAACTTTAGTTTCTTGACATGAACTAGTCCTGTTTAACAGGTCAAACTGCTAGTCTACGTAAATAAGCTAGAAAAGACTCAAGTATACAGCTGTACACATCATGAAATGGCAAGTTCATTTCAATACGAACTTCTATGACTGTACATTAGTACAGTTTTCTGCTATCATTGCAAAAGCCCCTCTGAGCAAAGTTATAGTTCAGAATTTTAAAAACTCTTAATGAGATAAAATGTACTAGGTGGCTTTTCTGTAGTAGAAATTAATTACAACCATTTTTCCTCAAGCAATTTTAAAGACAAGCAAGGCTGAAAATAAATATGCAAGCATACAGTAAACTAAAATCTGAACTTAGAAATTCAGATACAAAGCACACTGGCAGAGTCTATGACTGTAGAAGATAAATTAGAAAGATAAACTAGCAATGAAGCAATAATTTCTTCTCCTAGCAGGAAACAGCTTCTCCAATACCATTATTTAGTGTTCACCTATTCATTTTTAAAATCCCCTTTAATTATGACATTTGAGCAGATATACCAACAAAGACCTTAAATCATACTGCATGAAATAAGTGACCATTTAATTCCTAATGAATTGAATGAACTCCTTAATGACTTTTTAGATTTGTATATAATAGAAAGGTTCAGTAACTTGTGTACAGTTGCTTAAAATCTATTGGTATTTATGAAAGCTTTTAAAAGTTAAATTATATTCTTATCCATTTGTTAATCCACATTATTAATGTAATACTCCTAGTGTTCTATAACCATTTAAGCCTCAGGTATTAGGGTGATCTGTTTCAAGTTCTGAGGCATGCTATTTTGACTTATTTACTTGCAGGGAATCACCCTCTTTTCTCCCCTCCACCACAAAAAAAGTTGAGAGAATAGAGACAAATTTCCAGACTTAGGCATAAGGAAAGTTAAGATTTTTCAGGCTTGGATTATAACCCTTAGTTAAGACGAATGCCAAGTATATATGCCAATTGTTAATTTTTATGAAATTGAACATAAAAAAGAAATTCCAGCTAAATCATATTCTTTCAGAATGAATGAGACATGATGAGACATGTTAATAAGATAAGACATGCTTATCATCCATAATCAAAAACTTCAATTCCCTACCTGAAATTGGCTTGAAAAATGGTACAAAGTCTATAGCTCCTTTAAAGAATTTTAAAAAGCCTATATAAACCATTGAAAGGACTTATATATTAATAGATTTTATATTCAAAACTAATCTATGAAGCCCATTTCATTCAATTTAAAAGTTAGTCCTAATGTATTTGTGGTTGCTTTTACTTTGTTTTTTAAAAAGGGGTACTACTATAATTTAAGACATCCTAGAGATAGTATAGATTTGAAGGATTCTTTTCATATCTTGGATACCTTAGGTAATTTCTTAAGAGCTTAAAATTATTATTTGTTCCTCCTTAATATGAAACTCTTGCAACATAGCTTTTTTTTTTATTTTTTTATTTTTTTGAACGAAATCCTACAGATGTAACAACATAGCTTTTGATCAGTAAATTAATGTTCCTTAGGCACTGTGAGGTGTATTAATGATGGAGCATGAACCCAGGTTGAAGTGTATAATTTGATTTTAACTACTAACAAGACAGTTAACAAGCACTATCTTAATCCACTGACAGCAAGAAATGCCTTTATCCTACTACTCCTGAGATTCTAAAGAGGGAAAAACTAATTTCACAATCTTTAAAAGAATCCATAGATAATTCTAAGAACTGCACATACTTAGGGTATTAGCAAAGATGTTTTCTTTTGTAAGGCATCAATAATTAAATTAATAAAATGCATATCTAACAAAAGATGGTTAACACTCAGTATCATAAAACCATTTATCTTTTCTTTTAAACTTCTCTAATTCCTGCTACTTTTGCCAACTTAGCTAAGAAAAGAATGCCTCTTGACTAATCAACTATGGTTATAAAAAAACTAAGACATCTGAAACTAGTAGGCACATCAAAGGTACAGTTTATGTAGTTCAAGGTTCCCTTCTTAAGGGGCGGATGAGTTACCTGGCACATTATACATGTGGAACTGTAATAAAGATCATCTACTAAATTCAACTTTCACATTTTTAGTCAAACTGAAAGACTTACAGTAAATATTCAAACATACCATATCTTCAGTTACAACTGAATAAGTATAACATTTTACCAGATAAAAAGCTGAAACTATGAGAAACCTTCACACACTGTGCTTGTATTGGTCTCTTCTTTTTAGATGAAAGCCAGTCATCAATACTTTCAACACAGCAGTTTAGAAGATAAATGTCCAAAACAGGTGACTTGGTTATAGTCCATTATTTAGCAATTCAATGCCACTGGCATCATAATGCTGTGGAGAGCAAGTGTATCTCCATATTTTAGTCAGATTTGTCTTTCTTCTTTCCTGTTAAGGGCACTTTGTTTACAACAGCAGACCCAACAGCTGTAACTCCTCCAGCCACGGCAGACACACCCCCTTTCACCAGCCCTATTCCCATGGAAGGCACAGTTGTAACAGCTGTTTTGGTCACCTCCAGACTTTTGCCACCAATCCAAGCCACACCACCCATGGTGGCACCAACAGCTCCCTTTGTAACGCTGAAGATACCCCCAGTCACACGGGACAACATGCCTGGCTGCTGCTGTGGGTGATCTTCCACTGAACCTTCTGGTGGTTCATCACTAAGGTATGAAGGGATTTCTTGTTGATTGTTATCTGCCTGATCCATGATCTCCGCCGGGGTCAGGGGCCGGCGGCTGGGGCCGGGCGGAGGGAGTGGGCAGCACTGAGGCGGGCTGAGGCGGCAGGGACAGCCGGCACGCCCCGGGGCAGTTGCGGGCTCCGGAGGTGTCCCCTCAGGCTGTGGAGCCAGAAGACACGGTAAGTGGCGGCGGCCTCTGGTGGCGCCCGACGCGACCCGCCCCCTCCGCCGCCTCCCCAGCTCCCGCGCACGCACCCCCATTTTCTTTATCTACTCCTCGGGCAATGGACACTTAGGTTGACTCCATAACTTTGCAATTGTGAATTGTGCTGCCATAAACATCAAAGTGCAGGTATCTTTTTTATAAAATTGCTTCTTTTCTTTTGGGTATATACCCAGTAGGGGGGTGGGTAGGCTGAACAGTAGATCTGCTTTTCGTTCTTTGAGGACTCTCCATGCTGTTTTTCCCTAGTGATTGTACTAATTTACATTCCCACAAACAGTGTATAAGCTTTCTCTTTTCACTGTCTCCCTGCCAACATCTATTGTTTTTGGTTTTTTCTTTTTTCTTTTTCTTTTGACTTTTTAATAATGGGTCCTACCTTTATGACTTTGTTTAACCTCAATGACTTCCTAAAGACCCTGTCTCCAAATACAGTTGTATTGGGAGTTACGTCTTCAACATATAAATTGTGGGGAGGGGGCACGGTTCAGTCCATAGCCCCCATGGACTGGGGAACACACAGGTTTGTCCCAGCTGAGTGTCCTTGTATCTGCTCTGATGTTGCTCCCTTTTCACCTTGCTGCTCTGGGGTGGCCTGGAGTTGGCACTGGGCTGATGCTGCGTTCTGGTTTTTGGTTTTGGGTTAGTTTTTTGCCACACAGTGGCAACAGGGTGTGCAGAGAGCTCTTGCCAAGGCAAGATGAAGAGAGAGAGGGCACAGTCTGATGCTCCATGCACAGCATCTCTTCCTCTTCTGCTTTGGACTACCATCACACACACACACACACACACACACGCACGCACGCACGCACGCACGCACATGGGCCTCTAACCTCTTTCTGCCTCCCTAGGGCTTGCTCTGTGTTTTGTGTTCAGTTCCAGCACCCCTCAACCTCCCTCCCACCTCTGCAGTTATGTCCAGGGATGAGACACAAGAGCCCTTCCTGGGCTAGGATCTAGTGGGAAATGTGCAGTTAGCCACACTTCAAATCCCAACTTTGCCACTGCTGAAGATGAAGTTTCATCCAAGCCTCTTTTTTTTTTCTTGTATAAAATAAGAAGATTGGAATAGATGATCTCAGGTGATTCTAGCTCTAAGATTCTGTGTGGTAAAGGAGGAGGTGGCAGGTAAGGGACATTGAGGTATTTTAAGACTGTACAGTTTCCAAGGAGATAAAGAGACATTAGGGGGAATACCCAACAAGAGGGAGTTATTAGCAAGAATTGATGTCAAGTTTAGAGGGTGGAACGTCAATCAAGTCTCAGAGAACGAGGGAGGGGAAGGATGTCAGGAGAAGCTCACAAGAGACAGGGAAAACTGCTGATTGAAAGGAAGTTTGGAGGAAAATCATCAAATCTTAAAGAATGACAAAAATGATTAACCACTGCGGAGCAAATGTGATATTTTCTTTTTAATTTATTATTAAACATTTCAGACATACCAAAAGGTACAAGAATAATATAATGAGCACTGTGTCCCCAGACCCCAATCTAAAATATTACTCATTACCAATATATATTAATATTAATAGTAACCCTCCCCAGACCACGTCCCTCCCTCCACCACCACCCTGACGTGGTACCATCATCCTGAATCCCAGGACTTCTTTACACTTCCACAGATGTATATATTCAGGGGCAATATTTTCCTTTATAACAATCGGATTTGATGTTTGAGGCCTGAGAAGTATGACTATTGAAATACTTGAGGTAAAGCGGGGTGTCATTGCTGAAGGGTCCAGGCAAGGAGAGTCATAGAGTGAACGGATGGAATGACTTGGGTCAGAGCACGCGGAGCTTCCTCCTACCCACTCAGGTCTTTCCGGCATGAGGAAGTCGCTGGCAGTCACTTCGGGAGGTGGACATAGAGCAGCAGCCAGCTTCCTGGTGCGGGCAGAGAGCCACAATCCCGGAACATCCGAGGTCGGAGGAAAGGGGTTATTTCAGCTGCCGCCTTGCAGAGCTGTTAGTTTAGACCAGTGGGAGTTCTCTTCTCAGAAATGCCAGCGTTGGTCGAATGTTTATAGCAGCACAAGTCACAATTGCAAAGCTGTGGAAACAACCCAAGTGCCCATCAATTCATGAGTGGATTAATAAAATGCGGTATATGTATACCATGGAGTACTACTCAGCTCTAAGAAACAATGGTGATCTAGCACCTCTTGTATATTCCTGGATACAGCTGGAACCCATACTACTAAGTGAAGTATCTCAAGAATGGAAAAACCAGCACCACATGTACTCACCAGCAAATTGGTATTAACAGATCAACACTTAAGTGGACATATAGGAGTAACATTTATCGGGTGTCGGGAGAGTGGGAGGGTGGGAGGGGGGAGGAAGGGATGGGTATGTACAACCACAACGAGTAAAATGTGCAACGTTTGGGGGATGGACACGCTTGAAGCTCTTACTCGAGGGGGTAGGGGAGGCATGGGCAATATATGTAACCTTAACACTTGTATCCCCATAATACACTAGAAAAAAGAAAAAAAAGAAATGCCAGCATTGGGAAATTGGGCATCAGAACAGAGCAGGGAGCCATTTAACGTTTCAGGGACAAGCCACGGAGCAGGCTGAGGTTTGAGGCCAGCTTCCAAGCCCAGGGTTAGCCCACAACTAGCCAGCGAGATGAACACAACCAAGCTTCTGCCTCATCCTTTCCCTTTCTGTGGGGTCTTGTGCTCAGCCTCAGCCAAGTGCCAAGATGCAATACTAGAATCATTCTATGAAAAGATAGCCAGGCTGGGGGGGAGGGGCTTGCCTTGCACAATTCTATTAGTGAAAACCCACTGGGGCCATCTTTAGACAACCCAACCCTGCAGTGAACATTACTAAGCCCTAAACGCTGCCATAGCAAATAGATTAAAATGCACTCCCGTCTACATTAAAAATAATTTGGGAGAAAAAAAAGCAAAAAGATTTTTATAATTTTGCTTTTGAAATTATTTGTCTGAGGAGCTCATTTAATTCACAATTTGCTCTGCTTTTTCTTCCCCCCAAAAATCTGTGCATAATTGGGAATTCTTAAGAAGCAAGGAAATTAAATCCACAGATGACTTTCAAATGTGTGAAATGCTGTATGAATGCTAAAGTTAATTCATGAAGCTGGCATGTTATATTTGTACACATTCAATTAAACATTTATTCTCTATTTTGTGGTTCCCTTTTTGTATTTTGGAGCCAGTAGTTATTTCCAGGCTTCAAACACTGTTATAGGCTGCTAAAAAAGTCATAGGCCCGCAGACCCGGAGGATCAGAAAAGCAGTGGGAAGGTTTTATGGGAGATGCCTGGGTCTGTGGGCACCGACTGGCTCTTTGTCCCAACTCCCCACACCTCTATTCACTCGTGATGACAGTAAAGGCAGTGCCCTGAAGATAGCGTCCCCAGATATAGTCACGAGTGCTTGTTTCTCGCTTATTTCTTTCTCCTAGATGCCACAGAAGTGCGGACTTTGTGTTACTCACTGCTATATTCCCAGCCCAGAAGAATGCTAAGCCCATCACAGACACTAAGCCCATCACAGTACACAAGTATTTGTCGCATGAATGGTCCTCTCTGGGAAAAAGGTTTGGGTGGTGGAAGAAAAGGGCTCCAGGACCGGCGCAGTGGCTCACGCCTGTAATACTAGCACTCTGGGAGGCCGAGGCAGGAGGATAGCTTGAGGTCAGGAGTTCGAAACCAGCCTGAGCAAGAGTGAGACCCCCATCTCTACTCTAAATAGAAAGAAATTAATTTGCCAACTAATATATAGAGAGAAAATTAGCCGGGCATGGTGGTGCATGCCTGTAGTCCCAGCTACTCGGGAGGCTGAGGCAGTAGGATCCCTTGAGCCCAGGAGTTTGAGGCTGCTGTGAGCTAGGCTGATGCCACAGCACTCACTCTAGCCTGGGCAACAAAGCGAAACTCTGTCTCAAAAAAAAAAAAGGAGGGCTCCATATATATCTAAACTGTTTGAATCATGTATAATGAGAATGTATTCACTTACTACCTTTGTAATTCCATAGTAATACAATTTCACAATGAGTTATCGCCCCACATCCATCATGATGGCTACTATTAAAAATGAAAACAGAAACAGCAACTGTTGGTGAGAATGTGTAGAAATTGGAACCCTCGTGCCCTGTTGGTGGGAATGTAAAATGGTGCAGCTGCTATGGAAAACAGTGTGGCAGTTCCTCAAAAAATTAAAAATAGAACTACCATATGATCCAACAATTCCACATATATATCCAATATGCCCCAAAAATTGAAGCAGGGTCTCAAAGAGATATTTGAATATTCATGTTCATAGCAGCATTATTCAACAGCCAAAAAGCAGGAGCAATCTAAATGCCCATCAATGGCTAAACAAGATGTGGTGCAATGGAGTATTATTCAGCCTTAAAAAGGAAGGGAATTCTGATGCATGCTACAGTGTGCATGAACCTTTGACAATATTTTGCTAAGTGAAAGAAGCCAGTCACAAAAAGACAAATCCTGTGTGATTCCCCTTATATAGGCAGCTAAAATAAATAAAAGCCATAGAGGCAGAAAGTGGAATGATGGTTGCCAGGCGCTGAGAAGAGGGGGAAATTGGCAGTTGATGATTAACTGGCATAGAGTTTCAGTTTTGCAAGACGAAAATGTTCTGGAAACTGGTTGCTCAACAACATGAATATACTTAACGATACTGAACAGTACACTTAAAAACAGTTAAAAGAGTAAATTTGATGTTATGTATATTTTACTTCAATTTAAAATAAAGAAAATTTTTAAAAAATACAATTCTAAAGTAAGTGCATTAGAATATATTTATGATTTTGAGTGTGGAAGACTTTTCTAAAGAAAGCACAAAACTCAGAAAAATAAAAAGAATGATCAACAGATTTGGCTAGATAAATATTTTAAATTTCAGTGATAAAAGACACCATAAACAAAATTAAAAGACAAACCGTAGGTTGGGAG